TCTGGTTCAGACGCTCCAGCTCCTGCATGAACAAACAAACTGCATAACTATTAAAACATAGCACATCAATGATCTCATGATGAAGGTGACTACTACATCTGCATCTTTCATTTTATCATCTCCATATAAAACTTAAATGATTTGTTTATTTACAAATCAATACTAATCTCTTAATCCTTGAAAGTTCACCTCTCTCTGAGCTCGTTGATGACTAAGCTCCTCAGTCTCTTCCATCAGTTTATCTGGAAGAAGAAATAAATATATTGCTAATACCCTGCCTTCACTTGTAAGACCTTTGAAAGGTAAATTTATTCAGATGACCTTTCTCCTGCTTACCCAGGTATTCTTGCTTCTCTTTGGCCAGCTGCAAGCCCTGAGCCTCCAGACTTTCAATCATCGCTTCCCCCAGCTGTGCATTTTTCCATGTGCTGTTGGGAAGATGCAGTGATTTGAGAAAATCAAAGCACTATTAGCAAAATTAAAACATTCAAATGCTTTTAAAAAGCTGCAGCAGACAAAGGAAGCATGTTTTTAACAGCAGAAGAAACGTGTCTCAAAAATAATCATTCTGAATGAAGTAAATGAATTACTCACACTTTCCCTGACTCATGGAGCATCTCCATCCACTGGACCTGCTCCTCCTGAGACTCAGCAGCCAGCACTATGGTGCCCTGGGGGCCAGATACACTGTGTTTTACATGTTAGCAGCTAATCAATGATCGTTTCATGCTGTAAAATGAATTTTGGCTGGTAGTGTGTCTCTCTACAGCTCCAGTCAGTTAACTATGTGCAAGTTGTTTGATATGTTTATTTTTGTAGAAATTTGTTGTTGCGTGTTGTCTGTGTGCAGCTTTTTCTCCACACGCAGCTTCACAGATGACAAGTTTTAGACTTACGTGACATTAGTTTGTTAACCACTTGGGGGCAGTAGAAAAAAAACTGTAACCACAACATTAATAATTAACATCTACCTTATTTTAGAGTACTTCATCCTGGCATACGGATTTCTAGCTTAGTTTTTGGTGTCCACCAGCTTATTTTAAATTTGATTTAAACTTGCAATCATTTATAATGTAATGGGAAAAGATTTTTGTTCTTACAGAGAAATCTTCAAGGTTGATGATGATGGCAAAGGGCATTCCCAAGTCTTCATTTGCTGACACCACACATCCTCCCAGAGGAATGACTCCCTAAGACAGGAAAAGGTTTTGTTTTCATTCATTTGTTCATTTGATCTTTCAAAACTAAACTAAAATATCAGAAAACAAGCACATCTCTAACTTTTGCTCAATTTTGTTATTGTTACCAGAGATACTGCAGCTGCTCACCTTGGGGTGAATGTTGAAGTACCTGTTGGTCTCAAAGTTTCTCTTCTCACTTTCTGCGTAGTAGAGCAAGAAGCTGTCTTTGATGATGAAGAATCTTTGTACCAAGGAAACAATGAAAGCAAGACTGAGTGAGTCCTGTGGGGCTAAAAGGAACCAACGTCTGGCATCGCTCTAAGTTTTAGTCACTCGATTGACTGAATATAAAAATGTTTTTGCTGATAACCCATTAACACTTTTCTCTGCTCGTTTTTCAGTCTTATTGCACACACGTCTTTTGTAATATCTTTACTTTCTCATTACTGAATCTCAGCCTAGGGACTCAATTTTCTTTTACTGCTGCTGCACTAAATAATTTTGTGGTTTTGAAAAAGTTTCTGTTTAAACAACTGTTGAGTTGCTTTGGGTTAAATAGCAGTGACGAGTACAGTTATTTTGTGTATGAGCTGCTGTTTTCTGTCCATTTTATTTTTTGGAGCATTAAGAAGAATATTCATATGTTTCTTAAGTCCACCGGTCCAATCATCAGTGTGTTCATCACACCAATCATAACACAGAGAAATGTGTGGCAAGAATGGAATCATTTTTTATGTATTAAAATGTAAAATTAAGTTTAGAGTGTTGTGAGAGCACATGTTTTATTATTACAGACATACTATAAGTATAATCTGGATGAATATAATATATAATAAACCATTTTAAACCAGTTTTTGTTATATAACATAATCCCATTTATCCATCTACTAATCAGAGTACTGCAAACAGGTCTACACACTGGAATGATAAAGCCTTCTTAAAATAAGGATGTTTGTTTCAAAGAGTCATTACATTAAATTAAATCTGACACATATAAAAAGAGACACAAGAATATTAGTTCATTTACAGTTCTGTGCAAAAGTCTTGAGCCTGCCTTTATATTTTGTTAGGAAAATGGGAAATAGGTACAATTATTTATTGAAAAATGTGCAAACACACATGTAAATAGAGTCTATAGAGCAAAAACAGAGTTTGTGCAATTCTAACAAGTTTGAAATTAACATGAAAAATATTTGGTATGATTTATCACTCCAAAAGACCTGTTTCGACTTATTTTCAGTCTAGTTTTTATTTAATTTGGCACGCACCAGCATTTTCTCTTTGTTTTCCTTCCTTAAAAATGGCTTCTTGACAACCGCTCTACCACTGAGACCATTTCAGTAAACAGTAGATGGATCAACTGCACGGCTAGAAGCATCTCTCAGGTACCATGTCAGGTCTTTGCTGGATTTTCTTCCCTATTAAGGATGTGACTGTCAGACAGTACAGATAAAGCTTTAGGCCTACCACGTCCTCTTTTGTCCTCAATTTGTCCAGTTTCCTCACAGGACATGCTGCACACCATCTAAACAACTTTTCAGGTAGCGGCACTTTGTTGTTGTAAAAATAGTTCTTTGCCAGATTGTTTGTCATGTGTAAACTCAGCATTAGTTCATCATTCAATGTTTGAATGATTCATAGGTCAGTGTGAACACACAGCATTTCATCACAATACAGAAAAACACTGAAAGACCTTCAGAAAGCCTTGTAGTCTCATTCCTTGGAAACAAAATATAAAGAAATGAATAATAACTCAAGACTTTTGCACAATAGTGCACTAGTTTAGGGAGTGGCTCTGTGAGTTTGGGTGGGACTCATAACGGAAATGACTGACTAAGAGATATATTTATTTTAGAAATTAATCAAAACTAGTGAATAAATTGTTAACATTTAGTTTCTAGTATGAGTACATCCTACTTTTCCAACACTACAAGATGTTCCTGTCTTTAGAAAAATCTCCTACAACACATCCAAATGTGTAATACTCGTCCTGACTTTCATTAAACTATTTAATTTTCACCCTAAAAGCAGCTGTGAAATATGCTGGACTATTAACACTTAAGGCTGATAAGTCTTTTACATACATTTCATCCCACTGGTTGGGAGATTTATATTAAACAGCTGGTAACGACAATAAAACCTACTAAACCAAATTTAGCACAGAAATCCAAAGAAGCACTTACTGAAAATTTTAGCGACCTTTATGACACAAGCAGCTGGGATAGGTTACAAATGGTGTGCTGCAAATGGACTCTCTGGATCCACCGTATATTGTCGTTTTAACTGTTATGTAAACTAAGAGCATTACCATGACTCAAGATATCAATCCAGGCATTTTGACCAAATTTAAACTGCTCTCAGGATATACTGAAAATGCGGGTGTGGATAAATATTTCCTGTTATTATATAAAGCAATCCTCTAATACAAAACATGTCAAAGTACAGTTTACAAAATCCTATTGCTCTCTTCTGGGATTAAAAATAAAGAAGTTTAATCAATAAGCATTCATAAAAGATAATAAATAAAACAATTATTGTCAATTTATAGGGAAAAATTACTCCAGATGTTTTACCTACAATTTGTAATGCAAATTAAAAGGTTTAATTTTCTCTCAGTATACAAGAATTTTTATTTTGCAGCTGTAACAGCCAATAAATGAGTTCTAAATACAACACAGCTAATTCAAACTTTTAGTTCAGACTTTGATACAGGAGAGAAAATTCTAACCACTTCCTAAACATGATTGTTTTGTCGCTGTCAAGGGGCAGCCTGCAAACTAAAGAAAAAGCTGAGGCATCAAGAGAATTGATCACATTTAGCTGTAGGATCAAAACAAAACAACAACTTAGTCACACCTCACCCTCACCTGCGCGACCACTTGGCTGATGGCCGACCGAACGGCCTCTTCCAGAGCACGCCATGCAGCTGCACTTTGGTGCTGATGTCCAGCAGTTCAGAGTCTGACTGCTCCATTGATGACCAGGGCGAAAACCGAGAGTTCCTGGATGAAGACGAGAACATCCTCTGTGGCTTCCCTCGCCCTGGGAGGTGGGACAAAAGCGATCAATAAAATAAAAATAAATAAACAAAGCACAATGCAATCACTCAATAACAATTAGTCCAGCAACACCCGATAAACACACACATACACGCACGCATACACACATAGAGGTGCTGCAGGCACAGCTTCAATACAAAGCAGGAAAAGCAGAAAACAAATCCCAATAACTCAGCAGGGCGGAACGATGCAGCTGCCAATACGCTCATCAGCTGGAGGCAGACTGACTGCACAGCGATGATGAAAACAGGATGGGGGGGGGGGGGATACTGGAAGGCAATGGGGGAGGGAGAGAAGCTTTAGGAATGAGTTGCTAAATCTGAAGCCGGTCGATATATTCCAGCCAGTAAAAGCTGTTATTCAGATTACAGTATTTGCAGAGAGGAGCAGTTTCCAGTTATTGGCAGGTATGAACTCTCCAGTCTCTCCATCAGTCCATCCTGCACCCTAGCAGCGAGTTAAGAGGAAAGCCATGGTTCCACAACTTTCTATTAAAGAGGATGAAGAGTCAGAACAGTTGTTGTATAGCTTTAGTGTCACGGGTATCAGATTCATTTACAGAACATGTGTCCGAGTGGATGGACAGAAGATTATAAAGATACCAATAGTTCAGCCTTGAAATCCAGGACAGATAAATGCTGTGTAACTGTAAGGCAACAGTTGCAGTCTGAACCTCTGTGATTTTATTCAAACTCTAAAGTCAAAGTCAAAACATGTTACTGACCCATTATGTTTGTAAGTTAAATGATCAGACATCATCACCAATTAAAAAAACTTTAATTTAGTCATCATAAAACACGCTCCTTTACAACTGATTTTTACAATCAAAGTATGGAAATAAGGCAGACCCCTTTAGGAATGATAGGAAAAGAAGAGAAAACAGATTCACACCGACCTCCACCGAAATTAACTATACAACTATCAGCCTGATATCCCCACCCCCCTTGATTGAGATAATCAGCCCCAATATGAGCCTTTATCTTTAATCATGAAATGCATTTAGATCATTTTAAATCTGAAGGGGATGTGCCTTCAGCCAATTAAACCCCAGTATTTTGGCTGGAAAAGATGATGAAGCCTCGAGTTGAAATATTAATTTAAAAAATAATAATTTTTTTTATACTTTTGAAACTGATGGGATCATGTGTGAACAAACTACATTCTGAATAAGAAGTTATAAAGAGATATCTTGCAGCCAACTCTAGTCTCCAAACTTTAAAGAGGCTATTTAACCATCATAAAGCTTTTTTCCCTGCAATGTTAATTAAATTTAATCAAGCCACAAACCAGACCCCACATTAAGTTTTAAGGTTTTCTGTAAGGGATAAAAAAAAAGCTGTAGATTGCCGTAGTAACTCAAGTTACAGAGATATAATGGTACATAATGAGGCTGCCTACTAGTGTGCCAAGTTGTCAAGCATCACAGTGGAGGGGGACGGTTCCCAGTTCCCTTTAGTACGCACAAACAGTTTCCCAGAAAAAAACAAAACAGTCATGCAGCTTCTGGTCTGCATGCAATTTCACCCCACCTTCTGTCACAGTCACTCAAAAAACAAAACAAACAAAAACAAAGCCTAAAACAACACGGCGTGCTTCTTCTCATACAAGTTAGAATTAATTCACAGGTCGTGTGTAAAAGCCTTAAATTTACACATAAATCAAAGACTCCTCAAGTCAGTCTGTAGCTTGTTGAGTTGGTACTGCGAAGACGAGTTCGTCGATGTCCAAAAGTTCAACACAGAAAAGAAAGAAACTGTAATTGAGAGTAAGCAGTTCTGTCTCACACAAGAAATGCCGATGATTGGGAAGAAGTTGCTTTGTACAGTATACATACATATACAAACACGCGAGCTCTGCTGTGAGCAGGCACAGTGATACAAAGGATATCCAAAATCAGCCTACTTACATTTTAATGGTGCTGGAGCAGAGAAGTAACTGAGGCAGAGCAGCATTTGGGACCCTCTAACTTTCCGATCTTGGTGCTTGAATAACATAACGAGCACCTTTATGATCAAGACAAACCCTCTGTACACATTTCAGACTTGGCTGCACTGCTGGCAAAGAAGTGACCTGGCCTCAGTTTTACTTTTTGGTGATTATTGCTATAAGTATAATTACTTAATAGAGAGTTAACCCAAATAAAATGAAACAGTTGTTCATAATTCTCCTCAAACAATCTGTAACAGGTCTGTTTTACCCAATGAATGCCCTCGAGCAAGACAAATCCCTCCACCACCTGAAAACACTCTACAACACAGACTTATCCCAAGTTTAAATATAAACTAAAGAAATTTTAAAGAAAAGTGACAGTCGATGTTCAGATGGGAGTCTAGCTGTGTTTGTCGTTATGCAGGATTTAAAGGAAACTGTGTCGCATAAAGAAAGAGCTTGTTACAACTGATTTCTCTAGCGGTGCTGGACTCTCCACTTGCTAGACAAACTCACTAGTCACGGAAAAACTGTTACAAGCATCTTGCTGGTTAATCTGTCTGATCTACTGTGAAAGCATGACCTCCTGTGGCAAGAAGAAAACATCTTGTACAAGCCAGTGTTGTTTGGGGGCAATCCTCTTCAGAGATCTGTTTCAGGCTTGCTAATATGGCACTTAATCAGATCCAATCCATCAGTATTGTTGCTAATTTATCTACACTCTATACAATTATTTTTAAAAAAGTGAGTTTCACTGCTTTTGAGATATCACAAGTTTAATCAAGACTAAATCTCACTGTGCAACTGCCATCTAGTAAAAGGTCTCTAATGAAATCAGGGCTTTTTTTGACTTGGACGAGCACTATAACGCAACACTGAAAAATCCACAGTGACCTAAATGAACTCATCTAAAAGATCCACCTCTGGCGTCTTGGAAAAAAATGATTTCTGGTGGAATTAATGCATACATACAGTAGATGCATTATACTTTGTTGTCAGTGTCATTAGATAAAATGTCATCATGTGCACTGGTTGTCACTGGAGCAACTCTGATTTTCACTCGTTCCCTGCTTCGAGTTCATTTTCAAGTCATAAGAAGTCCCTGCACAAGGTCCATTAACAGACACCAAGCAATAAGACATCTGAATCCACCGTGATTGAAGTCTTTGTTTCAGCTTCTTCCTCCTGTACACCCAGCTAAAATCCATCATGAGCTGTGGGTCTAATGATGGTGACCGATGGACAGCACCAGCGGAATGAGGCAACCCAGCACCAGAGCTACCACCTCCACCTTGCTCAGTCCCTTCCCTCCGTTTCCTCCTGCGGGAGCGTGGCTGTGACCGCCGCCCCCCACCTCAGGCAGAACGTGGACCGTTGCCACGTAGAGGAAAGTGCCAGCAGAGAAAAGCATGGCGACACCTGTGGCGTTGACGTCTGACAGTGCTTCTTTGCTGCTCTAAGAGGGGAAGAGACAAGAACAGTGTAAAGCTTAAAGTTCTCCTTTTCTAGTGACTCCAATGTTGATGAAATAATGTCTTTGTAGTATTTGGGCAGTAGTGTGCAAATCACAATACAGACTAGTAAGATGACAGCTGGATATCTAGATCTTCAAACTACTGTATTGTACCAAACAGTTAACACTGAAAACTAAACCTCTAGCAAAATGAAAACCGATCAGTGCCAAAATATAATAATTACCTGACTGAGACCTAAAAATGTGAGCATGGCGAGGACTGGCGCTGCCAGGGCAAAGGCCAAGAGATGTTTGCGGATACGATTTCTCTCGAGACCGGCATGCATTAGGAAGGATACAAGACCAAATGCTGCTGGCGCCTACAATCAACAAAACAGAAGAGTTTATATAGCAATTTACTGCAGCAAACAACAATCAATTCTTTTACCAGTTAATGTGCAAACTAATGCTGAAAAAAACCCTCTGTGTATTATAAACTCAGTAGCTGTACTTAAATTTAATTCATTTGCAGGCCTGCAAAAATTAAAGACACCCTTACTGCTTCCTTAGGATTTATGGAGTAGTAGTAATTGATCATCATTAAGTGTAAACACCTCTATAAATGCAGCTGTTTTGTCAGTTTGCTCCTCTGCAGCGATCAGCAGCAGAAGCAACTGTTTGTAGGTCCATTTTTATACAACAACAAGCAAACATATCCATCATCCTTGAGTGACAATGATTATTCACAAGAGGAAAACATTCAAGATATCAGACAATCTTCCTAGACATAGACAACACAGCAAATTCATCTCAGGGTCAGACTGTACAGTGCCCAGATAGACTGCAAAAAAACAAAAAACAAAAAAAAAAACCAAGAGCTACATCTCAGACTCTACAGCCCTCACTCACAATTTTAAATGTTAAACACAGAACCTATACTGAATGAGTATAGGCTCTGTGGAAGGGTTGCTAACAGAAGGAATCTTCTCTTTAAAAAGAACATGGCAGCCTTGCTTAAGTTACCAAAATTGGATCCGATCAACCCACAAGACTTCTGGAACAATGTCCTTTAGATAGACAAGACTAAAGTGGAGATGTCTGGCCATAATGCACAGCGCCACATTGTTTTGGAGAAAATCAAACACAGCATATCAAGAAAAAAACAGATCATACAAACAATGAAGAAGGGTGGTGGAGAAGTTATGATTTGGACTTGTTTTGGAGCCACAGGACCTGGACACCTTGCAGTCACTGAAAATCAAATGTAAGGCCATCTGTCTGACAACTAAAGCTTGGAAGACACTGGAAAATGCAACAGAATGACTGAAAAAAAAAAAAAAAAGTGTTGCAAAGTCCAGACCTCAACATGGAAAATATCCTGCAAATCTATGAGAGACTAATAAAGTCACACAGAAAATAATTACTGAAGTTATCACATCTAAAGATAGTTCTACAAGTTACTGAATCACTGAGCTTGTTAGTTTTTCACAGGCCTGTGCAAACTTTATTTTTAAGATGCCGGTATACGTATACACACAAACAAACAAAAAAAATCAACCACTGACTGCATTATATATGATGTATATTTACCTTATGCAGCATGATGGCTACAAAGACAATGAGCTGAACGCTGGTCTGAGAGGTTGAGGCAGCAGCACCCAATGCAACACCATCAGCTGCAGGCAAAAAAATCAGAAAGGTACAGTAACTACTGGAACACTTAAAAGCAATGAGTCGTCATTAAAACAGCAATAAAATCTGAAACTAATACTGTTTGAACTGAAAAGTAACATTTGTGTATACATTTTCCAAATTAAAACAATTTAAAGCTTAATTAAATTCATAGTATTCTGAAGTAACACAAACTCAGGTACAGAATAAAATTACATCTTTTTCATGAGTTCCACCAAATGTAAATACATATGATTAAATATTAATATCATTAATTAATATAATTTAATATTAAATATTATTTAATATTTATTTTGTGTACAGTAGCATTATCAGAAGGTATTAAATCAGACCTACCTGCAGCATGGACCACAAGCCCCAGGGTGGTGGTGATTTTGGAGGAAGCAACTCTTGCTGCCTCTGGATCTAAACCAAACATAAATAAATAAATAAATACACAACTCAAACAGTTTGTGGCAAGGAAACAAATCAATAATCTTGATGGACCACTATGTCCACACTGAGAGTTAAACAGCACCACAACATTGGCAGACTTTGAAGAGTATTATCAGCTTAAATAAAGATCTCTAAAATTGTTCAGTGCAGAGTGTGGGTGCATCTGGGAAAACAGAATTAGCAGTTGAGCCATTTGGATGTGTTTTGGGTTTAATTCAATCTTATTTTTCAAGGAGAATAAGACGCGAAGAGACTAATGACGAAGCTGCTTTTGCTGCTTTTCCCAAACCAACTCTGGCTAAGGCTATTTGAATGCTTACCTTCAGTGTTGTGAACATGAGAACTACCTATCTGGTCCACCAGTAGCATAAAGACAAAGCCTAGAACCAGAGACACTCCAATGTAGGCATGGAGCTGCTCTTGATTGTGCTCATGCTTCCCACTAGCACTAAGAGCTGCCTCTGCTTCACCCTTTCCCTCGGAAGCTTCTGCAACTGCAGACTGGCCATGACTGTGGTGTCCACCTGCTGAAAGAGAAAAATCAGCAGAAAAATGGTCTGATAAAGACGCAAATACGTTAATGCATCAGAACCAAAGAAATGTAAAATTAAAATTCCATCACACAGCACAGAGACCATCATAAATACTGCTATAAATACTGATATGGAAATGACAATAAGTCAGAAACTGATTTCATGATGTTGCACTTTACTTTCCTCTGTTTAAATAAAATTCATACAGACTGTTACAATGTACACAAGCACATATCATTGGTCTACATGCTCTCTACTTAATTTTCCTCTGGTATATTTCAGTTTAAGCCTGTTGCAAGCATGAAGGAATCCAGCGCTGTCACAAACATCTAAAGACTATTTTAGATTTTGCATTATAAAGTGCATAAAATAAGAAGCTGACAGGAAATGAGGAAAGAACAGACACTCAAGAAAGATGCACCCCTGAAAGTTACAATTACTCAGTACTTTCAGTAGAATGACTAATCAATTATGTAACATATAATTATCTGTAAAAAGGTTCAATCAACTGTTTAATCTACATTGCTGTTAAATGTACATAAAAGAAATTAACAAGTTGATTCAACATGATGGAAAAGCCGGAATATCTTTGGGTTTTGTATTGACAGTCAAACAAAACAAACAGTACGAGTATGTCACCTTGTACAGTTTATTCAAGTAACAGATAAAATAAATAAATACATTTCATCAGCAACACAAAACAATTATTAGCTCAAGGTCTTCTAACAAGATTTTTTTTTTTCTTAACTTACAGGAAGCAGCCAAAATTGTGTGTGGTGGGGGCAAAACAATTTGCTTCTCATTTGAAATTGTGATCCCTTTTGGAAGTATTTAAACAACTTGTTTTGTCTGACTACCAACCCAAGAAAGATTACATTTATATTACACATCAAAGAGAAAAGCAGCAAAACAACACAAAGGGAAAACTTGGTGTCCTTTCTTGATAATTAACCGGCTAACTAATTTAATCTATCTACTATTGGATTAGGAGAGACGTTAAATCACTTATTTATGTTTATTTGACTATTTCACCATGGCAGCCTCTGAAACACACTGTACATTAGAAATAAACCAATATGACGGTGGATGCCCTGAGCTTTGCAACTCATCCATGTATTTCTTAGCTTAAGGAACACGTATTTTTAAGAGCTGTAGCACATCCTGGCTGATTGTGAAAGGCATTATTACTAGTTTTCTGAGCCATAGACTAAAATAACTGAATGAGCTTATCTTCAAACGTGCAAAATCCAAAGATATTGCAGTTTGTAAAAAATCATGACTATTACGTTGTCTTACAATTATTGATACAGTAGTTAATTCTTAATTGTCTGTCCATTCATGATCTGAGCAAACCTTCCATCTCCCCCAAGGAACCCTACCTTCAAGGATTTCTTCGTAAAGTGCGTGGACCCCTTCTGGGATGATCACGGCAAGTGCAGTCCCACAGAGCAGCCCTGCTCCCAGCACAGTGATCAGCTTCAACTTCTCCTAAACAGAGTCAGAGACCCAGACCTTAAGCATAGTAGCTTCTTATTGTTTGAAAGTTCAGTCCAGTTTATGATAGCTTGGTAGCTAAAGTTAGCTACATGCATACGTATGTCACAAACCTACCTCTGAGAAGTTAACCGCTAAAGGTATCGTCCCGGCCACATAACATCCCACCAGCATCGCAAGGGACAGCAGGCTGATGGAGCTAAAATCGTCCATGACTGCACTTTTCTTTTCGGCTAACCTACTGCTAAGCTATACCATCAAACCAAACCTCCACCTGCGCTTTTAGCACGGACCTTTGCTCGTGACGGTAAAGTTCAAGAACATTAGTTTTTTGGTGGTTAATTCAATACACGTCACGACCCACTTTTGGTACCAACCCGGTCTGGTGCTAAACATCCACTTTATAACTGGTCAGTGTGTCGCTCACTGGCCTCGGTAACGCAGTCAAAGCTAAGCTAACTAGCGTCAGTATGTATATGCCTTTCGATATTAATGAAAAAGAAACCCGGAAACGGTAACCGTCCAGTGCAAACTACTGATACTTCGCATATTTTCTGTCAAGTCCAGTTGTCAGAATAATATTGCAACTTCCCGATTCGGTTAGCGTCAACACACCGGCTAACTGAACATCTTCTTGTTTGGAGCTGATCAAAGTGCTTCCGGGTCAGAGTTTAGGCGACCTGCCACGTATCCGCGAGACTCGCTGGAAAAGATAAGGAAGTAATGTGACAATTTTAGCAACAAGTCATAAACATGGGGAAAAAACAAGAATAAACACCAACAGTAGATTTTGTAAGAGAATTTGCAGTTTTTATTTTTGTGCGATTTTTAAAGTTTAATTTATTTGTTTGGCTATTTGTTTATTTAGTTATTTGTTGCAAATAATAATAATACACTTAAACGTAAAATATGACTATAAATACATAATACACTGGTGGAAAATTGTTAATACTTTTTTCGATTTTCAATGTAAAATTTCCAGATTGTTTTATTTAATTTGCTTAATGTACATAATATTCACTTAATGTATATAATGTTCTCTTTTTGCAGTCGAGGAGCGTGTCAAGACACATTTCACAGCGTGTTGTACTCCTATAACTATGCATGTGACAAATAAAGGTTCTTGAATCTTTTTCCGTCTACTCGCTCTAATGGTCTGACTTCATATTACCCTCTGCCTAGCATCCTCCTCTCTCACATCACCCCTTCTGCATGTCTTTCTTCACTGCATCCTCGACTCCTCTGCTCTTCTCCTGCTAGGCTATTCCATATTCATCATCGTTTTTCCAGTATACCTACTATCCCTTCTTTGTACATGTCCAACTAACTGACAGTCCCTTACTTCTATCATTGCTCTTCTCTCCAAAACACGCTTCCACCTGCTTCCTACTACAGCGTAGGGAGAATAGGGAACATAATCTGCAAACATCATAGTCCACAGATACTGCTGCTTGACCTTGTTTTTCCACCTGCCTATCACCATCGCAGAAAGGACAGGGCTCAGTGCTGAACCCTGATGTGGCACCCCACTCTCACCCTCTCTCATACACGTCCTACACCACCATCAGGTACTTCGTCGCCACTCCAGTCTTCCACATGCAATATCACAGTTCCTCTCCGGGCATCCTATCATATGCTTTGTCTAGATAATAAGATGATAATAAAAGATAACCTATTTGCATCGAAATAAAGTAAAAAAGGTGGTGACCAGAAAATATAAGTATGGCTTCATGCCAACAAAGAGCACTATAGATGTTTCCTTTGAGAGAGGTGATTGAGAAGAATAGGGGTCAGAAGGCGTAAACCAGGTACATACATTTACTGCAGTAATCACATCTGTATATGGAAGTGACCCCAATTAAGTTTTTGGTGTTTGAAAATAATCTCATAATTCAAAAACAGCTAATAATAATTAACAACACAATCAACAAAAACAGTATGTTTGGGTTTTTTTTTTAAAAAGCATGTTTATTAGTTCACACAATGGAGTAGTGCCTCCAAACAACACCACCAAATTAAAGCAGAATGTGTCCAACACATTGTAGAACAGATGGATGAAATTCCTCCTGAACGGCACTAACAAATAAAAGAATTACAACCAAAGGTTTTTTTCATGCAGCACATTAGTTTCCAAACCCTTTCAGTTCACAATTTTGACTCTCTCACGCGCACACTCTCACTCTCTCACACACACACTCTCACTCTCTCACACACACACTCTCACTCTCTCACACACACACTCTCACTCACACACACACACACTCTCACTCACACACACACTCTCACTCACACACACACACCAGCTCTTTGCCGATGGAATGGAGCGCCGTGTGGGCATGTTCACAGTCTGCTGGACCAGAAAACTGCAGACAGTAGAACTGAAAGCTCAGGAAGTCAGTCAGAGTCGTGTTTACTTATTTGACCAGTCCAATCTTCTTTGCTTCTGTTTCATATATCAGTAACCTCCACATTTTTACTATGAAGACTTCTGCTTCTTCATCAAGAACCTAAAGACAAACAGTTCAGTTAAACATACTATATATTACAAAGCTGAATGTACCGGTATTCAATGAGTCAGCAGATGTATACAATGTGACTGTCACCAACCATTTTAAGACAGACCAGTCTGGTTTTAAACTGACAGTTTTCCATTTTTGTTGGTTAGTCATCCACTTAATCGACAATGTGTGGTACAGACCATTCAAGTGGGTTTCAGTCCCAAAAGATGGATTACATATGTAAGATGTTTAAAGACTTAGGATCCAGGCAAAGTTCAACTTACCATAGCAACATCATCAAGAATACCCTGAGGAGTGCTATGCGCCATTACCTGATCAGAAAAGAAAAATATTAACTAGAGTGAGCAACAAGCCCAACAATTCAACACCACAAGCTTAAAGATACAGATAAACTTCAAAGGATAATAACTGACCTTGGAGCAGACAAAGTCAACCAATGTAGCTTCCTCCTCTCCAATGTACTCTATAATCTTCTTATTAATCCACGGTCTAATGCGGCGATCCATCAGAGTCTATGGAAAGAAAATCAAAACAAAACATAACCAATAACTAAAATATCAAGCTATGAAAATAAGTGCAATTTCAAAATATGCCAAGCCTTTTACCGAATCAACCATTGCCCAGTCCAAAGGATAGGAGAAGAGCTCTGGCCTGGCAGTGGGGATCTTCTCTATAAGGCTTTTTATGTGTTTCCGTTTCTCCTCTGTGTTAATGCTGCCTTTGGCCCCTGAAATTTCTGCTCCATCGAGCCCCAGACTCTTTTCATCATCACCATAGTCCAGTGGAACCAGTTTCCTTTTGCGAGGCTGCTCATCTGCCTCCTCTTCATCAAACTTGTTGAAAACACTGTCCACAGTTGCTAATTTCTTTCGCTTTCCTGCGCTGAGCTGACTCGGACTGTTGGTAGCACCTGTAGGAGGGAAAAAAAAAAATCATCAGGAAATACTATTTACTCTGGGAAAAAGCAGTGCCATTAAACAACAGATCTGTATGCGTGTTTTGCTTCGTTGCTGTACTCACCCAGCTTGAGGCTGAGGCCAATCTTGGGCCGGTGTTCCTCTGGAGGTTGGACCTCTGGAGTGTTCTCGCCTGGAATTATGATGCCACAAAGAGACTCATTTCCAGGGGTGTTTGGAGTAACGTTTCCACTGGCAGAAGACACAGAGGGAGCAGTGGTGATTGGTCGCATGGCGGGTTTGAGTTGCGGCTTGGCTTCTTGTGAGTCCTCGCCATCGCGGTAATCATCTTCATCTGCCTCTTCCACATCGTCATCTGAATGCTGCGGGGGAACTTGAGGCTCCGGCTCCACAGGCCTTCCGGACCCCCTCTTCTCCCGCTCCTTGTGAGTTTTCTCCTGGTTCACATCCTCCTCCGGTTCAAGTTTCAGAGGTGGCTGTCGTCTGCGCTCTGCTTCCTCTTCCATCTACACAAATATGTAACACATTAAGCAACCTCAGGATATTGTTGTTGACTGGTGGACTGGCATATTAATATTAAATGCACAAACATCATTGCAGAACAAGCAAAAAAGCTGTAATTCTGCAAAACAAACTAAAGATCTCTAAGTCTATCAAATGTCTTTGTCAGAGGTTAGGGAAAGTTCCAGGTGGATTTACTCTCTGTAATTCAGCATCAGGATCAGGGTGACCCTCAGCGAGAAGTCTTTGTCTAATTTCCTCCAGCTCCTCCTTCTCCCTCTTCCGGTCACGTTCATCCAACTCGATCTCCTTTTCTCTGTCACGAAGACGCTTCTGCAATGCGCTGCCCCTAAAAAATAAAAAATAAAAAGATTAGCATTAACGTTAAGTAATGACAAAAGGCATTAAAAGCATTAAAACATTTTAAAATGCAAATTAACATAATCACCTGTAGTATTTTGGGTCGTCCCTGTCATCATCATAGTCTTCAAGGAACTCTTTGAGCCTTTTGGCTTCTTTCATCTGATTTTATGCACAAAATGAAACAGTAAACAGTAAATCAAGCCTTCTGTTTCCACATATCTGAAATAATAAATAGTCTAAAACTCGTTTTATGCAGCGTGGCATGCATTCTTATATACCATTTCACGACGCCTCTCTTCTTCTCGCTCAGCATCTTTGCTATAGTCACGGGCCTTCTTCCTCTCTCTGACCTCCCAATTTTTCAGCCGCTTTAAGAAGGCACAGAAAAGAAATTCCAATCAGTAATCTGTCAAACATTAACAGTAATTTGCTTATGTGCAGTTGTTTAAATGAACATTTCATCAAATCAAAATGGGAGAGATGATAAACATACTTCTTGATAAGCTGCTTCCTTATCTCTAAGCCTCCTCTCAAGTCTCCGCCGCTCATACATGTCCTCCTCATCTTCTTCGCGGTCTCGTTTTTTATCGTCTCTAGACCTCTCTCTGTTAAAATAATAATGGGTTACTGATCTGTGAAGTTCATCTTTATATCAAATGAAGTTGAAACGCAATCATTTCAAGGGTATTTGCCCATAGCCAGTGCCAACTGCTGAATACATTTCACTACAGTGCTTTCATCAGTTATTTTGTGATATGGATATTTTCTACAAATGATCAACTGAACACAACACTCCCCAAAAATAAAAAGTTCCTTAACTGCCTCCAACAAATCCTCATTGGTTTCATTTACAGCTACCAAATGAGTCTTTCATTGTAGTGTTAAAAAAAAAACTTGCAAAGCCCTAAAGTGGGGAACAAGAATTCATATCTAGCATATCTTTAAATCACAGATAATAAATTATGTTGCCACATGCATTGATAAGTCATAACACATGTGGAGAAACTTATGAGTGGACCTTGAGGTCTGTTGTAAGAAACAGCTGGAGCCAACGACCTTTTCCAAACTGTTAGAATTAAGAGGCCCTTTAGATGAGTCACAACCGTTTGTGTGTGTGAGCCAGAACAAACCATCTTGCATTAGAACTGACCTCGATCTGCTGCGAGCTTCACTGACATCTCGACTCCTCTCCCTCTCCCGCTCCTTCGTCCTCTCGCGTTCACGATCCCTCTCTCGCTCACGGTCGCGGTCCCGGTCTCTTTCCCGCTCCTTGTCCCTCTCTCTCTCCCTTTCCTTCTCTTTCTCGCGATCGCGGCGCTCCCTCTCCCGCTCCCGCTCTTTGTCTCTCTCCCTCCTTTCTCTCTCCAACTCCAG